CAGGGGGAGTGGGAGAGGGAGAAGCAGGCTTCCCGCGGAGCAGGGAGCCCGATGCGGGGCTCGATCCCAGGACCCCGGGATCATGACCTGAGCCACCCAGGCACCCCACATCTTGAAGGTTTTGAGAGAAAACTGGCAGACATAATTATAATACCCTTTTTGAGACCAGATAGGAAATTTTGATTTATTCTCCTCTTTGACAGTTGACATTGTTGTCTCATCTTTGCATCAATGCCTGCCTGGTGAAAAATGAACCTGTGATGAAAAACTAGATTTTTTTACTCTAAATCAAAAGTGTATTTATCAGGGAGAAATCTAGTAGGTATTCCCAAGGAAGCGGGAAGATACGTGAAATAAACTGAAATTTGATATTGCCTTTGGTTTTAACTAGCTGGCCTCCCAGTTTAGTTCCTGTTTTCCTCTGACTCACTAAAATTTGACAGCTTTCTCAAGTAGGCTTTACTGTGCTGGGAATCCTCTTTTTTTTTTTTTTTTAAGATTATTTATTTACTTGACAGAGATTCAACGAGAGAGGGAACACAAGCAGGGGGAGTGGGAGAGGGAGAAGCAGGCTTCGCTTGGAGCAGGAAACCTGATGTGGGGCTCGATCTCAGGAGGCTGGGATCATGACCTGAGCCGAAGGCAGATGCTTAATGACTGAGCTACCCAGGCGCCCCAAAGAATCCTCATTTTTAAAAAATAAAAAAGGGAGAATCAATATTTATGCTGATGTTTGTTCTCCAGTTACTGTATAATAGCCGGTTTTTATTTTTCTTCTCATGTCTTTGGGATAGGTGTTTCTCTTTGATTTGGGCATAAAATGGGAACATTGAAGTAAAAGAAGACCATAAAAACAACCAGTTATCCAAGATTCAACATCACTGGCTAGCTGGCATGTCAGATTTCTCCTAGTGTGTTTAATGTTGAGAGAGAAATTCCAATAAGTGCATTTTATCACTAGCGGGTGCATAGTTTTGAAGAATAAATTACCTTTTGAAAATAAAAGCAAAACTACAGTCATCTAATAAGAATAGTGTCAAAGAGCTCTCACCCGCAAAATCACAGGTCTCAGGGATGGCAAGAGGATTTGAAACTGCTTCATGCAATCCTCCGCAGGTGTTCCGCTTTAGTTATGGTGGCTGGTACTGATCTGTTGTACATCTCATAGCAAAACCATGGTCTGGTAAGAAAACATCCCTTTTTGTTTCAGGTGTGTTGAAGAGAATGGAATGGCTCCTGGAATTGATGGGTTACATCAGAAATATTGTGTACCAGTCAACATCTGTTCAGAACGTGGCTCTCGATGAGGTACAATCCAGAGGAGTCATTTGTGGCTCCCTTAAAATGTAGAACTTAACGTTTGCTCTCCCAAAAGACAAAAAAGTTGCTGCTTGCCCTTCCCCCCCACCCTTCCTTTTACGTTTGGGTAACGCTGGTGATAACTCTCTGACGTCACAAGGAAATGGATGTTCGTGCCTGGCTCTTGGAGACACCCAGGGCTGCCCTTAGAAAACTATTTCTAAGTTCCTTGAAAGGCGGCACACAAAGGGCACTAGCCGGTGCGGGAACCCAGGGTTCTGTGTACTTGGGTTTGACCCCACAGAGGAGATGAGGTACAGGGCTCTGGCCTTTGCACTGGCCCAGAGAGTGTCTTCAAATGTCTGGTTTGACGGGGTTCCTGAAGTGTATGCAAGTAACCTGTGTTTGCATCAATACTTACGTGCATGAGAGGCATAAAATGATGTATGACCCCCAAAAGGTTAACAACTGATACTGGGTAAATTAAAATAGCAAAAGGTTAATAAATAAAAGGAAGATAGCACTTTCCCACTCTTCTTATTTTCTTGACTTTGCTGCCCACTGTGTACTTTTTAGTAGTAGAATTTTTCTGTAGGCATGTTTCACAGGTATCCTGTTTACTGTGTGAGTGGAATTTGTATAACCTGGGATGTTGTTTGAAATTCTGACCTGCTTTTCTGAAGAGTTGCATATATTTTTGAAATTTTAACGAGTGAGATTGTGAATTTTAAGAAATTAAGGACTACTTTTTAAACATTTTTTTTAACTAGCAGAATCTGTCATCCTTTTCTTCTGATCTCCTAAGTTTTTGTTAACTTTCTGTTTTCTTACGAAAATCTTTTAAAACTTAGAAAATACAGATAAGCAGAAAGAAGTGTAATTTGAATCACAGTATTCCAACAACTCAGAGGGGCCCCTTGTTACCACCATTTCTATAAGAGTGTAGATTAGTCTAAACTCTGAATGGATGGATGGATGGATTGAATGATTGATTTTATTTTTTTTTTTTAATTTTATTTATTTATTTGACCGAGAGAGATACAGCAAGAGAGGGAACACAAGCAGGGGGTGTGGGAGAGGGAGAAGCAGGCTGCCCGCCAAGCAGGGAGCCCGATGTGGCGCTCGATCCCAGGACCCTGGGATCATGACCTGAGCTGAAGGCAGATGCTTAACGACTGAGCCACCCAGGTGCCCCTGATTGATTGATTTTAAAGATTTTATTTATTTTGACAGAGACCGTGAGAGAGGGAACACAAGCAGGGGGAGTGGGAGAGGGAGAAGCAGGCTTCCCGCCGAGCAGGGAGCCCAATGTGGGGCTCGATCCCAGGATCCTGGGACCATGGCCTGAGCCGAAGGCAGACACTTAATGACTGAGCCACCCAGGCGCCCCTGAATGGATATATTTAAAATGCATGTGGAGACATATAGGCTGAGAAGGTGGCAGAATATGAGGGCCCTAAGCCCACCTCATCCCATAGATACAACTAGATAATACTCATGTCAGTGTAAATAACACAGGAAATGACCCGAAGGCTGGCAGAACAAACTCCTCAACTAAAAGTAGAAAAGATGCCACATCGAAGAGGGTAGGAAGGGCGGAGACACGCTGGGGAGCTAAATGGACCACGGGTGTGGAGAAGGGGAAGAAGAAGGCTAGCACATTGGGGAGCCCACGTGGGGAAGATGAATCTCCATAGTATTTGGCTCTGAAAACTAGAGGGGGTGAACTTTAGTGAGTTCTTACAACCAGCAGGACTTAAAGCCTGCAACTTTAAAAATCAGCAGGTTGGGTTCTGGGAGAACCTGGCCACTGAGAGGAAACTGAGTCCCTGCCCTTAAAGAGACAGCACGAGAAACAGCCTGTGGAGATACAACGTAGAAGGAGCACTTTGAAAAATGCCTGGGGCATAAGGAGGAAGAGTTATTCATCTCAGAGCCTCTCCTGGAGGGGTAGTATTCACAAGGAGTCTCCTTCAGGACCAAAGGAGCTCGTAGGTGCCATTTCCCGCCCCTGCCCCCCCAGCATAAACACGTGGCCACCTGAAACCACCTGCAGAAGCCAGTTTAGTGCCCACATTTGCTACCTAACTTGCTTATACTACTCCCTGCCTCCCCACTCCACCACCACCCCCCCCCCAGCTCTGGGGATGTGCCCACCCCAGTTGGCCTTGCCTCAGTCCATGTGCTGTGGATCCCCTCCCCCAGAAAACCTCAAATTTTGCTAACCATGCACTTTGTGGGGCCTCGGCAATGGTGGTGGCAGCAAGTACCCTCTTGTGAAAGACGGGCACACACCTTGCTAAAACTGTGTGCCTGCCTACCCACTCTTTGCAGATCCACATGGGCTGGCCCTATGGTGATGGTAGGTCTTTCACAGCAAACCTGAGTCCACGTTGGTAAAAGCGCATGCCCTACCCTTGTATGCTTTGCGGATTGGCCCAGCCACTGTGGTCCCAGAGGTAGCAGCACGTGCCCTCTCCCCAGGTGCAAACCTTGAGGGCTCTGCACATCTCATGCCCGAGCACACTGCAGATCCGCCTCCTCCAATGTGCTCTTGGCCAAAGCCCATTCAAACTGAAGCCACAAGCCTGGAAAAGTGTGCTCGCGGCCTGGACCGGGACCAACACCACTCCAAAGTGATTCCTGCCCTGGGGAGAGAGAAAGATAAACACCACACTGGTCAGACTGTGGCCCCCGCAATGGGCTGGGGACAGACAATTCTTCTGATTGCGGGCCCTGCCCACCAATGAAGGCTTCTCAGGGGACAGCACAGGGAAAGCGCTCTGCAGTTTGATGCCATTGCATCTCTGCTGAACACCTGACTCAACTCAACATCTGCAAACAACTCCGACTCAACTCAAGCACAAGGCAGCACCAGACTGGCCCACTAACAACATAGGAGGTGCCCCCAAAGTGCCAGGTTCTGGTTAAACAGGGGAAAGTGTGCTGCAGAGCACTACAGGACCTCTTCTTTGTAAGGCCACTACTTTCAAGAGCAGGAGACAGAGCTGACTTTCAGACGCAGAGAGTTAGACAAAACGAGGAGACGGGAATATGTCCCAAATGAAAGAATAAGACAAAACCACAGCAAGAGTCCTAAGCAAAATGGAGATAAATAATATGCCTGATAGAGAATTTAAAGTAATGATTGTAAAGATACTCCCTGGACTTAAGAAAAGAGTGGAGGACATCGGTGACACCCTTAAAGAGATAAAGAAGAATCAATCACAGCTGAAAAGCACAATAAATGAAATTAAAAATACCTTAGATAGAATAAATAGCAGAGTACAGGAAGCAGAAGAATGAATCAGCAACCTGGATGACAGAGTAATGTAAAATAATCAAGCTGAGCAAGAGAGGGAAAAAAAAGTATGCAAAATGAGAATGGACTTAGGGATCTCAGCCACTCCATCAAGCATAATAACATTTGCATTATAGGGATCCCAGAAGAAGAAGAAAGAGAAAAGTGAGTATAAACTTTAATTGAAGAAATAATAGAAAACTTCCCACATCTGGGGAAGGAAACAGAAATTCAGATACGGGAGGCACAAAGATCTCCCAACAAAATCAGTCCAAGGAGGTCCAACCAAGACACATACTAATTAAAATGGCAAAAAGTAGTGATAGAGACTTTTAAAAAGCATCAAGAGAAAAGAAGACCACACAAGAGAAACCCCACAGGCTATCAGATTTTTCAGCAGAAACTTTACAGACCAGAAGAGAGTGGCATGATATTCAAAGTGCTAAAAGGGAAAAATCTGCAGCCAAGAATACTCTATCCAGCAAGGCTATCCATCCAGCAAGGCTATCATTCCGAATAGAAGGAGAGATAAAGAGTTCCCCAGATAAACAAAACTTAAAGGAATTCATGACCACTAAGCCAGCCCTACAAGAAATGTTAAAGGGGACTCTTTGAGTGGAAAGGAAAAACCATAAGTAAGAATAAGAAAATTAGGAAGCATAAAAGCAGTAAAAATAAATATATCTGTAAAAAATAGGCAGGGAATTCACAAAATAAAAGGATGTAAAGTATGACACCATAGACCTAAAATGTGGCAAGGGAGGAGTAAAGAATGGGTTCAAACTTAAGTAACCATTAACTTAATAGAGACTGCTATATGCTGAAGATGTTATATACAACCCTAATGGTAACCACAAATCAAAAACCAGTAATAGATACGCAAAAAGTAAAGAAAAAGGATTCCAAGTATAACACTAAAGAAAGCCATCTTGGGCGCCTGGGTGGCTCAGTCGTTAAGTGTCTGCCTTCGGCTCAGGTCATGATCCCAGGGTCCTGGGATCGAGTCCCGCGTTGGGCTCCCTGCTTGGCGGGGAGCCTGCTTCTCCCTCTGCCACTCCCCCTGCTTGTGTTCCTGCTCTCGCTCTCTCTCTCTCTGTCAAATAAATAAATAAAATCTTTAAAAAAAATAAAATAAAATAAAAAGAAAGCCATCTTATGGTGAGAGAAGAGAGCAAAGGAAGAAAGGAACAGAGAAGAACTACAAAAACAACATAAAGCAAGTAACAAATGGCAATAAATACATACCTATCAGTAATAATTTTGAATGTGAATGGACTAAATGCTCCAATCAGAAGACATGGCATGACAGAATAGATTAACAAACAAACAAACAACACCCATCTATATGCTGCCTACAAGAGACTCATTTCAGACTTGAAGACACCTGCAGATTGAAAGTGAGGGGATTGGGGCGCCTGGGTGGCTCAGTCGTTAAGCGTCTGCCTTCGGCTCAGGTCATGATCCCAGGGTCCTGGGATCGAGCCCCGCGTTGGGCTCCCTGCTCGGCGGGGAGCCTGCTTCTCCCTCTGCCACTCCCCCTGCTTGTGTTCCCTCTCTCGCTGTGACTCTCTCTGTCAAATAAATAAATAAAATCTTTAAAAAAAAAAAAAGAAAAGAAAGTGAGGGGATGGAGAAGTATTTATCATGCAAAGGGAGGTGAAAAGAAAACTGGGGTAATAATACTTACATAGGACAAAATAGACTTTAAAAGAAAGACTGTAACAAGAGACAAAGAAGGACACTATATAAGCATAAAGGGTACAATCCAACAAGAAGATACAACAATTGTTAACTATTTATGCACCCAACATGGGAGCACTCAAATACATAAAACAGTTAATAATAAACATAAAGGAAATAATCAACAGTAATACAATAATAGGAGACTTTAACATCACCCCACTTAACATCCATGGGCAGATCATCCAAATAGAAAATCAACAAGGAAACAGTGGCTTTGAATGACACACTGGACCAGATGGATTTAACAGACATATTCAGAACATTCCATCCTAAAACAGCAGAATACACATTCTTTTCAAGTGCACATGGAACATTCTCCAGAACAGATCACAAAAGAAGGCCACAAAACAAGTCTCAATAAATGCAAAAAAAAAACTGAAGTCATACCAGACTGATTACCAGCAATGAAATTGAATCAGTAATCAAAAAATTCCCAACAGACAAAAGTCCAGGAGCAGACGGCTTCACAGGTGAATTCTAGCAAACATTTAAAGAAGAGTTAATACCTATTCTCAAACTTTTTCAAAAAAAAGAAGGAAAACTTCCAAATTCATTCTATGAGACCAACATTATCCTGATACCAAAACCAGACAAGAGACACCACAAAAAGAGACTACAGGCCAATCTCTCTGATGAACATAGATGTAAAGATCCTCAACAAAAATATTAGCAAACCAAATCCAGCAATACACTTAAAAAATCATTCACCACAATCAAGTGGGATTTATCCTAGGGTACAACGTCGGTTCAGTATTTGCAAATCAAACAACGTGATACATCACATCAGTAAGAGAAAGGATAAAAACCATATGATCCTTTCAATAGATGCAGACAAAGCATTTGACAAAATAGAACACCCGTTCATGGTAAAAAACTTTTATGAAATGGGTTTAGAGGGGACATACCTCGACATAATAAAGCCACATGTAAAAAACCCACAGCTAACATCATACTCAGGGGGGAAAAACTGAGAGCTTTTCCCCTAAAGTCAGGAACAAGACAAGGTTGTCCACTCTCACCACTTTTATTCAACATAGTACTGGAAGTCCTAGGCACCGCAGTCAGACAACAAAAAGGAAAGGCATCCAAATCGGTAAGGAAGAAGTACAACTACACTCTGCAGATGACATGATACTGTATATAGAACACCTAAAAGACTCTGCCAAAAAACTGCTAGAACTAATAAGTGAATTCAGTAAGGTTGCAGGATACAAAATCAGTGTACGGAAATCTGTTGCATTTCTATACACTAATAATGAAGCAGCAGAAAGAGAAATTAAGAAACAATCCCATTTGCAATTGCACCAAAGATAATAAAATACCTAGGAATAAACTTAACCAAGGAGATGAAAGACTTGTACGCTGAAAACTGTAAAACATTGTTGAAAGAAAATGAAGATGACACAAAGAAATGGAAAGACAGTTCAAGCTCATGGATTGGAAGAACAAATATTGTTAAAATGTCTATGCTACCTAAAGCAGTCTACAGATTTAATGCAATCCCTATCATAATACCAACAGCAGTTTTTACAGAACTAGAACAAACAATCCTAACATTTGTTTAGAACCACAAAAGACCCTGCATAGCCAAAGCAGTCTTGGAAAAGAAAAACAAAACTGGAGGCATCACATTTTCAGACTTCAAGCTCTATTACAAAGCTGTAATTACAAAACAGTATGGTACTGGCCTGAAAATAGACACATGGATCAATGGAACAGAATAGAAAGCCCAGAAATAAACCCACAATTATATGGTCAATTAATCTGCAACAAAGGAGGCAAGAATATACAATGGGAAAAAGACAGTCTCTTCAACAAATGGTGTTGGGAAAACTGGATAGCAACATGCAAAAGGATGAAGATGGTCCCCTTTCTTACACACAAAAATAAATTCAAAAATGGATTAAGGACCTAAATGTGAGACCTGAAACCACTAAAATCCTAGAAGAGAGCACAGACAGTAATTTCTCTCACATCAGCCATAGCATCATCTTTTTAGATATGTCTCCTGAGGCAAGGGAAACAGAAGCAAAAATAAACTATTGGGACTATATCAAAATAAAAAGCTTCTGCACAGCAAAGGAAACAACAAAACTAATGGACAACCTACTGAAAGGGAGAACATATTTGCAAATGACATATCTGATAAAAGGTTGGTGTCCAAAATATATAAAGAACTTCTACAACTCAACAACAAAAAAACCCCCCAGACAATCCAATTTAAAAATGGGCAGAAAACATAAACTGACATTTCTTCAAAGAAGACACATGGATGGCCAACAGACACATGAAAAGATTCTCAACATCACTCCTCATCAGGGAAATGCAAATCAAACCCACAATGTGATATCACCTCACACCTGTGAGAATGGCTAAAATCAAAAACTCAAGAAACAACAAATGGTGAGGATGTGAAGAAAAAGGAACCCTTAAGCACTCTTAGTGGGAATGCAAACTGGTGTAGCCACTGTGGAGGATGGCATGGAGTATCCCCAAAAAGTTAAAAATAGAACTACCCAGGGGCGCCTGGGTGGCTCAGTCGTTAAGCGTCTGCCTTCGGCTCAGGTCATGATCCCAGGGTCCTGGGATCGAGCCCCGCATCGGGCTCCCTGCTCTGCGGGAAGCCTGCTTCTCCCTCTCCCACTCCCCCTGTGTTCCTGCTCTCGCTCTCTCTCTCTCTCTGTGAAATAAATAAATAAAATCTTAAAAAAAAAAAAAAAAGAACTACCCTATGATCCAGTAATTGCATCACTGGGTATTTACCCAAAGATTTACAAAAACACTAATTCAGAGGGATATATGCACTCCTATGTTTATAGCAGCATTATCAACAATAGCCAAAGTATGGAAGCAACGCAGGTGTCCATTGATAGGTGAATGGAAAAAAAAGAGATGAGATACACACACACCCACACACACACACAGATATTATTCAGCCATAAAAAAGAATGAAGTCTTGCCATTTGCAACGACATGGATGGATCTAGAGAGTATAATGCTAAGCAAAATAAGCCTGTCAGAGAAAGACAAATACCATACGATTTCACTCATATGTGGAATTTAAGAAACAAAACAGACAAAGGGGGAAAAAAGACAAACCAAAAAAAAGAAAAACCAGACTCTTTAACTGTAGACAAAAAACAGATGGTGACCAGAGGGGAGGGGGTGGGGGCTGGGTGAGATAGGTGAAGGGAATTAAGATTACACTTACCTTGATGAGCAGCTGAGTAATACATGGAATTGTTGAATCACTATATTATATATCTGAAACTAATAATACACTGGAATTAAAATTTAAACTAATCCTTGGAATTACAGATATATATAGGACCGGAGAGATATATAGGTCCAGACTCTGGTGAGTCTATTTCAGTTCACGGCTGAACATACTGAAAAAATTGTTTTAAAAAAAATGCCTAATGATTTGTTGTGACTGACTCCCTTATTCCAAGAATGCTTGTTTTTAGTCTGTCTCCATGCTTACGTTTCAGCATTAATGGAACAAAATGAAGTGTTTGCCACTGAAATATTTAGATTAAATAATGAGAACAGAAAAATAAGATGCATGGGGAGTCATTTGTTATTGTTCCAAAGTAGGATCAGACTATACCTCTTTTTAAAAATCCGTTTTGGCCACATAACAATAGCTCTGAATATCCCTTTCCATATCACTCCTGATGAATCCTTTAATCTCTTTGGAAACACCAAAACAGAGGAGTATCTGGATCTCCGTATGATTAGGAATGAAATAAGGTTTCTCCTGCATTATTAGAGCAATAGTAATGCAACTGCTGGGCCTTCTGTCTTACAAAAGAGGATCCCGACAACCTTCTGGAGCCTTGAAATGTCTGTTCATTAAGTGTGGAAATGGAGTTTGCTGTTCAGTCCGGTTCCTCTTCTCGGGTGAAGGGGAAGGTCACATTGCATCATCCTGACCCGGGCTGTGTGTGTGTGAACATGGGTGACTCTGAATTGTTAAAACATGTGACCTAACTTTGTTTCTATTTCCTTTGGAGGCTTTGGATTTCTTGTTGCTGCTCTTTGCAACCGCAGTGGTGACCTGGGCAGACCACGCGGCCCCTCTCCTCCTTGGCCTCAGTGCTAGCTGGTTGCCATGGCATCGGGAAAATGGCCCAGCTGGGTCAGCTTCAAGCTTCCTTGGCAGGAGTCCAATGCACAGGGTCACTGTGCAGGAGGTTCTCACTCTCCTTCCCAGTAGCATGCCTCTTCTGCTGCAGAAAGAGCCGTGGAAGGAACAGACCCAGAAGGTGAGGTTGGCAGCCGCCTGCGTGTCAGGGCAGGTGGCCCATCTTCTCTTGAGCAATTTGTGCTGTAGAGTTGAGTTTGGAAGTTAAGTGAAACTGGAATCACCCCACGGGCTTTCATCCTCAGCCCCGAATCGCAGCCAGATGCAGAGCCTCAGAGCTTGAGGCTAACTGGTGGCCAAAAACAACAATGACAGTAGCAGTGACTTGCTTACAGTTGGAGGTGAGCCGGAAAGAAGAGCTTATACTTGCCCTGGGGTATTGAAGGCACATGTGTTCTTGATCCTGGGGGTGAAAGGATGAGTGAGGCTCTGAGCGCTCAGAATGACAGCGTGAGGACAGATAGGAAGGCAAGTTCAAGGCTGCAGGGATCGTAGGACCAGGAGGAGAGGGTGGTGCTGAGCAACGTTGGGGACGATCCAGCACGCCTGGGGGTAGGTCAGGGAAACGGGCATCTGGAACATCCACATTCGTGTAGCACAGGTAAGATTCCTCGTAGCTCATTCGGTCCTAAAGCCACGTTCCAAGGGCCCGTCCTCCTCCTGATCTGTGCTCATGACATGGGGAAATTTGTAAAGGTCGTCACCCTAGCCCTCAGGAAAATCCAGACTGTAGGAAGCACCTTTTGGTTTTTAGCGTTGAGTTTCCCCAGGCTCCTGGCTGTTGTGCGCAGCGTATGGCAACACTGTGCTTCCTCTACTTCTCATTACATGGCTCTGGGCGGCCTTTCGTACAGTCGAGGGGGAGATTCTTTTTTGAATCTCATTTAAGGATTTTTATGAGGTTGAAAGCTTAAAGCCAACTTTTTGTGGCTTATTGTGAAAATCTGAACATTAGTCTTTAAAAATATTTCTGAACTCTGGACCCACGGGTTAGCCGTGCACAACTCCACTGAGCATCTCAATTAAAAGGCCTTTGTTAAGCATTCATATTATCCCAAATCTTGTGTTTGCTGTTTCATTTTAAATCAAAATCAATTCAAATGTGGTATCCCCTTGTGTTTTTTCTGGCCTGGGACACCACGATCACTTCAGACTACAAGTGCAGACATCCTGTGTCTATTATGTACTTGTAGTGCTTGATTTATTTACTTACCAGTCGGATATTATAAAACAAAATTGAGAAAAAGAAAATTTTTAAAAAATTTAATCAAAACAGGGGTGCCTGGGTGGCTCAGT